GCAAGGCTTGGCCGACAGGGGGATGCTCAATGACTTCGTCAAGAAGCCTGATGAAAGAATACACAGGGCCTGCGTGGCCGGTGCGGAAAGAGAAAGAGAGGGGCTACCGCCCCCGCCATATGAGCTCGACCAGGAAAATGCGCCCGGACGGGTGCGCCTGACCATAGAGGCGATATCGGGGACGATGGACTTGAGGGAGAAAATAGAGGCAAATCGCCGTGTGAGGGCGGCCTCGGCGGAGGTTCAGGAGGCGATAGACATCAGCTTCAATAGGGTGCCAGAGGAAGCTTGCATGATCCCGTCCATGGACGCCCTGGAAATTCAAGGAGTGGTGGCTGGGTGCCGAGTCCGGAGGATGCTCGTAGACACGGGAAGTTCGATGGATGTGTTGTTCAAGGACACGGTGGCCCGCATGCAACTATCTCCGGAACTCATCAGGCCATCCGAGTCGGTGCTTGTGGGTTTTTCGGGTGCGCCCGCTAGGGTAATAGGGCGAGTGCGCCTGCCAGTTACTCTGGGAGATGGGGAGCAAAGGGTAACGCGAGCCATCGACTTCGGAATAGTGGACTGCCCGTCACCATACAATGCAATTCTGGGGAGACCACTCTTGGCCTTATTTAACGGTGTAGCCTCCACCTGCCATCAAACGCTGAAGTTCATCGCGCCCCAAGGGGTAGGGGTAGCACGGGGGCAGGGCGCCCCACGTTACGCGAAAGAAACGGGACGAAAGCGGAAATGTTCTGAAGTAGTGAATGTGATGGAAATCGCGATAGAAGAGGCGCCCCGAGCCGAAGCGGCCGATAAGGAACTAATGGTGGCACTAGATGAAGAACGCCCAGAAAGGCAAGTGAGGATATCGGCGGAGGCGCCCGACGAAGTAAGAGAACGCATTGTCGCCCTGCTGAAGGAGTTCGCGGAACTCTTCGCCTGGAGCGCTTTGGAAATGCCGGGAGTCACCCCCGAAACGGCCGTGCATCGATTGGCGGTCGAAGAAGGTAAGCGCCCCGTACAACAGAAACGGAGAAACTTGTCGGCGGAAAAAGAGGCGGCGCTTAGGAGCGAAGTGGATAAGCTCATGGGCGCCAATTTGGTTGAAGAAACATCCTATGTCACATGGCTATCGAATGTGGTTTTTGTACCAAAACCGTCGGGGGACTGGAGAATGTGCGTAGATTACACAAGCCTCAACAGAGCATGCCCAACGGACGCCTATCCCATGCCCCGAATAGACCAACTGGTGGATGCCACGGCGTATCATGAGATGCTGAGCTTCGTGGACATGTTCTCGGGATACCACCAGATCCCGATGGCAGAGGAGGATCGGCCCAAAACGGCCTTCATGACACCCTTCGGAAACTTTTGCTATCGGGTCATGGCATTTGGACTCAAAAACGCGGGCGCCACGTATCAGAGGATGGTCAACAAGGTCTTCCGCCAGCAAATCGGCCGAAATGTGGAAGCGTACGTAGACGACTTGATCGTCAAGAGTCGAAGGCGCGAAGATCACCTGGACGATTTGAGGGAAACGTTCCAGGCCATGTGGGCGCACAGACTTCGCCTCAACCCGCTCAAGTGTGTGTTCGGCGCCGAGGCAGGCAAGTTCCTGGGGTTCATGATAACTAAGCGAGGCATTGAGGCCAACCCGAAGCAGGTGGACGCTGTTCTACAACTAGCCCCACCCAAGGCGCCCAAAGAGGTGCAAGGTCTGGAGGGAAGGTTAGCAGCCCTGGGACGCTTCATCCCCCGTTCGGCGGGCAAAGCCGCCCCTTTCTTTCGGACGCTCAAAAAGGCAGTACGCTTCCAGTGGACTGCCGAGTGCGACGCAGCATTTGAGGAGCTGAAGCGACTCCTTTCTGCCCCAACGGTGATGACGGCGCCCAAGACGGGTGAAACATTGTATCTCTATATTGCTGTGTCGGAAGTTTCGGTAAGCGCAGTGCTTGTCTCAAAGGAAGCCCACTCAGGAGAAGAGAGGCCAGTGTATTATGTCAGCCGCACCATGGTGGCCCACGAAAGGCGGTATGCGCCCATAGAGAAAGCTGCTTTGGCGGTTGTGATGGCGGCGACCAAGTTGAGACCATACTTCCAGGCGCACATTATTGTGGTGCTGACCAATTTGCCGCTGAAATCTACTTTGGGATCGATGGATGTGGCTGGACGCCTGGTCAAATGGGCGGTGCAGCTGAGTGAGTTTGACATTAGGTATGCACCCCGACCAGCGATAAAAGCGCAGGTCTTGGCTGACTTCATTGCTGAAGGGGTCACAGAATCAGAGGGGGGTACGAATGATTGTTGGCAAGTGCAGGTGGATGGAGCCGCCAGTCGTACGGGCGCAGGTGCAGGCATAGTGATGATAAGTCCAGGCGGTGCGATGCACGAAGTTGCGTTGCGGTTCACAGAGCTGAAAACAAACAATGCCGCCGACTACGAAGCAGTTATCGCCGGTATGAGTATGGTCAGAGAATTGGGCGCCCAAAAGGTACAAGTCAGATCCGACTCGGCCCTTGTGGTCAATCAGCTCAATGGCGTCTTTGAAGTTAAGGAGGAAGCACTGGAGGGGTATGTGAGAAGGGTGCGAGAGCTGGGAGCATGGTTCGGGGAAATCTCTTTTGTGCACGTCCCTCGGGAAGAAAATTCCCATGCTGACGCCTTATCCAAGCTAGCAACGGCGGTAGATTTCGAGAAGGAGCGAAAGGTCATCGTCACCTCCGAGGCACCTTGTGAACACTTGGTCGCTAACCTAACCGGTGAAGCCGTCGGGGCCGGATGGATGGCACCTATCGTCTTGTTCCTAACCCAGGGCGTGGTGCCGGACGATCAGAAGGAGGCTTGGCGCCTCCGCCGCAAGGCGGCCAGATGCTCCATAATCGAGGGACAGCTGTACAAACGATCTCATACAGGAGCTTATTTAAGGTGCCTGAACGAGGAGGAAAGCAGGGGGGCAATTGAAGAGGTACATGGGGGCACCTGTGGTATGCACGCGGGCGCCCGAAGTCTGGAAAAAACATTGCTGCGGCAGGGGTTTTACTGGCCGACGATGAGGCGAGATGCGAGGGCACATGTGGGCGCCTGTCACCAGTGCCAAATCCATGCAAATGACATTCACATCCCGGCGGAGCCCATGCAAGGCAATATAGGAGCCTGGCCATTCGCCCAGTGGGGCATGGACCTTTTGGGCCCTTTTCCCAAGGCGCCCGGTCAGATGAAGTACTTGATAGTAGCGGTCGACTACTTCTCCAAGTGGATAGAGGCGGAACCTTTGGCCACAGTCACCGAGGCCCAGGTGCACAAGTTCACAAGGAAGAACATATTCACCCCGTTTGGCCTGCCTGAATCCATCGTCACGGATCATGGAAACAGTTTGATTGAAAAAAATTCATAGAATTTTGTGACGACAATGGGGTTGTGTTGCGGTTCTCGTCGGTAGCCTACCCACAAGCAAATGGTCAGGCAGAGGCAGCCAACAAAAGCATTCTTCATGGCTTACACACACGACTGACAGGTGCCAAGGGGAGATGGGTGGAAGAGCTGCCAAGCGTGCTGTGGGCGCACCGCACTACCTACAAAACTGCCACAGGAGAAACGCCCTTTGCTCTCACCTACGGGAGCGAGGCGGTCATTCCGGTGGAACTCAACACCCCAAGTTATCGTGTTGCCGAGTATGACCCAAATGACAATGAGGAGGCGCGATCGACTGACTTAGACATGGTAGACGAGATGAGGGAGGTACCGGCGATCCGCCTGGAAAAAACGAAGAGGCAGGTGGCCCGGTACTACAACAAAAAGATGTGTGCCCATGGGATCACAGAAGGCGCCCTGGTTCTTAAACGTGACTTCCGCCCCGACGCCCGCGAAGGAAAGTTAGCACCAAAATGGAAAGGCCCATATCGAGTCCGGGAGATGGTAGGACCCAGTACGTTTAAATTGGAACATACTGATGGCCGAGCAGTGAAAAGGACGTGGAATGCGCAAAACCTGCGATCTTACACGGCGGGCGCCGCATCTGGAGAAGACGCCTCGATGTGAGAAGTGAGGAAGACGGAATTCTGAAAGTGTTTTATTTTGTTTAAAGTCAAGTAGGTGGGTGTGTTTGTGTTGTGACTAAAGCGCCCGAAAATAGCGCCGTATTGTGACTAAAGCGCCCATTCTATAGCGCCGCAATAGTGATTTGGTGATGGGTTTAATTGTTTCGCATGACACTAAAGCGCCCCGACATCGCGCCCGGCAATACCAAGTTAATTAAAGCGCCACGTTTCGCGCCCATCTTTTGCAAAAAGCGCCCGAATCTTGCGCCCTCACACGAAACAAATAATGCGCCCAAATTCGCGCCCGATAAAAATAAACTAAGTCGTGCAAAAGGTAAAAATGATGCTTTTATAAAACAGGCAAGGTTCGAAAGAAGGATACAAATTGTACAACAAAATAAAAACAAAAAACAAGGCGCCTTAACTCTACTCCGCCCCTGAGTTGGCATCTTCGGCACCGGGCGCCTTCTGAGTTGGCGAGACTGGCACGGACGTCTCGGGCGCCCCTCCCGTACCTCGGGGAGTCTCCAGGCCCCCAATCACATACTCGGCCATCTCAGTGAGATCCCAAGTATGGTCGGGATTATCCTCCTGTAGCTTCACTTTCAGGATCTCGAGGCCGGTTAAAATGGCATTGGCGCACATCCCCTTGCCAGCTTCAGACTCCTCGAAGTTGTCCAAGGAACGCCGCAGATTGGAAATTTCTTCCCGGGCCGCTTTCAAGGACTTCTTGGTCTCCTTGTGGGCGTCCTTCAACCTCTTCTTCTCATCTTTGAGGATGTCAATCTCGCTGGCGTGGGCGCCCGACTCCTGTGCCAGCGCTTCCTTCTCCGCTTGCAGGTCCGCCACCTTCTTGCGCTCCTCATCCAGGGCGCCCTGCAGCCGCGACACCTCCATGGCCGCGTTCATCTGGGCCTCCTCACACTCCTTCGCAAACTGCTCGCGGCGTGCAGATGCGTTCTCCATGTCTAACTTCATTTGGGAAGCAGATGAGGAGGCCTCCAGCGCCTCTCGCTTTGTCTCATTGAGGCGCCGGGCGCCCCTCTCGGCGAACAGGAGGATCTACATGGTTTAAGCAAGAAAAGTCAAAAAACGGTACAAGTGACAAAAGGCATCCCCACAATCACAAAATAGCATAAGGTAGGAGATCATTTACCTTGGCGCCTACTTGGGCCAATTCAGCGAAGAGGTGATCCCCGTTCACCTCGGACGGCACCTGCCATGACTTGGCGGCCGCAATCGCCAAGCCTATGGCACAACCTCGGTCGACGACGACCAAGGGAGAGCAGTTCAGATTCACACGCCCAACCTCGGTGCGCCGTGGCCGGAAGATGGGAGGACGCCCATCGGGGCCAACATAGCGCCCCTCTTCATTGAGGTGTACGCGGGCGTCCTCTCCCGCTTCCTCTTCCACTTCCACCTCGTCGTAGGCGTCAGCGTCGGCGCCCACTTTCCCCTTGCCTCTGTCAGCCCGTTTGCTGGCAGAGGCTAAGGGGGAGCCAGCTCTTTTCCCCCGGTGGATCAGTGGCTCCTCTTCCTCCTCCTCAGTAGAGTTAACTTCTTGCTCTGCTGGGTGATCGGCCGGACCAAAGTCGGGCGCCTCCTCATCCGCCTCCGGGGCGGAAGACGCCACACTAGCAGTCTTCGCTCGTTGAGTGCCCCCCTTCACAACCCTCTTCTTCCTTTTCTTAGGAGGAGCTGATGGCGCCTGTGATTGGTCGGCCGCCGGTTCAGACGCCTCTCGGCGAGCAGGCGGGGGCGCACCGCCCGCCATCGCAGCAAGCCGACTCTTCATCAGCTTTGCGATACTTGAGTAGTCCGCCCCTACACAATGAAAAGAACATGGTTAGGCAGAACACAAAGGAAACACTACATTTAAAAAATGGGTTAATACCTTATTTTGGCCCGAACTATGACCATATAATCAACTTTGGCACGTGGTTTCAGAAATTAACATCTTGGCCTCAACTATGCACCATATAGACTTAATTGGCCCGACTCGTGAATCTCCGTCAAATTAGACGGTCAACATCATTGACCGTTAGTAAATCAGCATGCTACACTGACGTGGATGCCACGTGGAAAGTAAAAATTTAATAATTTAATTAAATAATAAGATAAAATAAAATCCTCATTCTCTCTCTCCTCACTCGGCCCACACAGCCTTGTCGTTAGCCAACCCTTCTTCCCCGACGATCCCTTTCCCAACCCTCTCTCTAACAAAATTTTGTCCACGAAACGGCTCCGCCTTTCCCTGTCCCCGATCAGCCCGCTCATCTACACCGCCTTGTCTCTGTAAATCTTCCCTTTCGTCCGCTCCTCGAACCCGACAGGCAGTTCGATCACGTCTGGGTCGGATTCGCCCCGGCGGGTCCTCAACACCCAGAAGATTAGAAGAACGACAACCGGATTTCTCGATCCCGAGTGTCATCTCGGTGAGTTGGTCATGACTCGATTTTGCTTCGCTCCCGAAAGCCACGTAGACCACGAATCTCTTGCTTGTCGAGCCACTCCTTGATCGAACCCCACGCCCGTCGTTGACTCATCTGCCTCCGCCGCCGGAGGCGGGAGCTGGCCAACGGGGAGAACCGGCTTGTCATAGATGGTCTCGAGAACTTGGAGCCAATGGCGATCGAACTCGAACAGGAACGAACCGTCACGACGTCGCAGTGGCGAGCAGAGAGCCCGATCCGGATCAGATCTTTCAACTGCCACCTCGGAGTTTCTACCAACGCTACTTCTCTATCCTGCTAGAGAAAAGACCTTTCATTTGATATTTTGAAATCGAGGGGATAAAGCTGGGATCGAGATGCTCTCATCAACAAACGGTCGCGATCCTCTCATCAACAAGCTTCAACCTCAAATGTAGTGGAGGAAGAAGATGCTGAAAGACAGTTCGAAATCGAGGGGATAGAGCTGGGATCGAGATGCCCAGGCAGTGGCGTGTGAGTTGCAGAGATTGGGAAACGATTTTGACCCAGTGAAAAGGGGGGTTTGGGAAAAGATTGGGGAAGATTACGTACTAGTGGGAAGGGGATTGGGGATTGGGTTAGAATGGAATCAGATTGGGGAAGATGCAAGACGGTGGAGGAAGTGAGGAGAGAGAAAGATGTTTTATTTTTATTTTTCATTTAAAATGTAAAAGAGCATATAATGAATATTTGAATTTAGATTAAATTATTAAAATTTTATTTTCCACATGGCATCCACGTCAGCGTACCATGCTGATTCACTAACGGTCAATGATGTTGACCGTCTAATTTGACGGAAACTCACGAGTCGGGCCAATTAAGTCTATATGGTGCATAGTTGAGGCCAGGATGTTAATTTCTAAAACCACGTGCCAAAGTTGATTATATGGTCATAGTTCGGGCCAAAATAAGGTATTAACCCTTAAAAAATCCTAGGCGCCTACAAACCATCATTATAGTACGCCTGGATTATGGGAGGACGATTCTCCGCAGTACGTAAGTTCACGCTTTCCCCCGCACAAATGAGGCGGGCGCCCTCTTTTTCTGCCCGAGTCAGAGACACGGGCGAGTTGAATTGCTCAACGTTGCCCAACTCCCACCGCCTAAGAAAGGCGCCCCCACTCTCGTAAAACGAATCTTGGTACGCCTTCATAAAAAAGAAACCGTTGAACCATTTGCGGTTAAGCTTGGGACATCGCTTCACAAAGTGGTTCGGGCGCCCCTTCCGCTTCTGAAGCGATAAGCAGTTGTCGAGGGGCGCCATCTTGAAAAAGTACCGAAACAGGTTGAAGGTGGGCTCCACGTTATTTTCCCGACACCTCAACTTGAAGAATATCACGATTGTAATGACGGAGGGGGATAGACGCCCCAACGAACAGCCGCAGGTTGTCAGGATCCCCTCCATGATGTGGTCGAGGGGGAAGTGCAGCCCAAAGCGAAAGTACTCCTGGTAAACCCCGATCCACTTGGGCCCGCAGACGCCCACTCGCGAGATAGGAGAAGGAGGCGCATACCACCAGTCCCGCGGCAGTTGCAGACTCGTGACGAGTTCATGGACGCGCGCCAACGTGACTGACGACTGATGGTTCGGCCCGGCCACATCGAAAGGCAGATGGGACGTCTCCGTCGGCAGATGGTCCGGGGGGAAGCCCTTCTCCCACGTTGAGATTTTGTAAGACCCATCCGCTGGCATAAATCCGGGCGCCGATGATGTGGACGGTCCAGCCGAGGTTGATGGAGGCGTCCCGTCTAAACCAACAAATGATCTAGGCGCAACGGCGACGCAGGGTAAGTGACGCCCTATCCTAAGTAACCAGAAGTAACTAAACAAAATTGAAGAAAGGAAAAAGACTCCTTACCGCCTTGAGTCGGGCGCCCTGCCCCGCCACCGGCGCCTGAGGCGCCTGCACCGGAAGCACCAGCACCAGACGCGCCTGCACCTTGGGCGCCCTGGCCAGAAGTCTTGTCTTTTGGTGAAAGCGACATCTCGGACGAATACGTGAGGAGAGGCTGACGCAAGCAAGGTCTGACAAGAGAGAGGGCAGAGCGAAGTTTAGAGAGATGTCAGAGCAAAATCTAGAGAGAAGTCAAATGGAAGAAAGTGACAAGAACGGGGGGAGGAGGGAGTATTTATAGAAGGCGAAAAGGTCAGGCCAGGGGTCGCGCCGACACGCCACGTTCCGTCTCACGGGACGACTTTTGAGCTTCCCCCACTTTTCCCTCTCTATAACGTTCGCGATTTTCCATTTCGAATTTTCCCGCCACAAGAAATGTGGGGGCGCTTCAAAACTCTCCCCGTGAGGGGGGCATAAGGACTAGGGACGCCCAAGCAAAGCACGCTATGAAGAGACGTCCACGTAACACAAAGAACGGAAAATCACATATAACGAGGGGCATAAGGACTAGGGATGCCCAAGCGAAGGACGCTATGAAGAGACGTCCACGTAACACAAAGAACGGAAAATCACATATAACGAGGAACACCATCGAGAACGGGACGCCCGCCAAGTAAGGAAGTGGAGCAGCGCCTCCGAGCCATGCAAAAAGTAGAAGTGTAATGTAGGGCGCCCAACGGTGGGCGTCTCGCAACCAAAGAAGCACCAAAACACACCAATGGGGTCAGTCAGGCGCTCAAAGGCGAAGCCATGAGCACCTAACTGGGGGGGCAATTGTTGGGGGTATCACAAGGCCCGTTAGGGATATGGGCTCCCAGACAATGGAATGGGGGGCAAGGCCCAAGAAGGGGCCCAGGAAAAGGCCTCAGGGCCCAAGTAAGTGGAAGGGCGCATAAAGACAAAGCGCTAAAGGCCAAAGGAATCCAGGCTGGCTGGTGGTTCATTACCTGGGGGCGCCTGTCATGTGTCAGGAACCTGACAGGGTGGTTGGGGTGTCTGACAAGGGGAGTACGAAGCATTTAATGAGCGCAGTGACGTGGAGGATATCAACCTCGGGTTTGGTGAGTATAAATAGAGGCAGTCGATAGCATTTATAGAGGTTGGACTCTCTCACCTAAACTTGAACATAAGAGCACTTCTCTCTCTAAGGGGACTAACTTGGGCGTCGGAGGATTAACGGGCCTGGGCGCCCTCCTCTCTGTGTGTGGTGTGTAGGCAGGCGTCGGGAGGCAGGAGGATCCCAGCAGCACGTGGCGGGTATCGTGGCACAAACACTATTGAATGTTTTTGGAGCCTAGTTATGTTCAAAGTAGAAATGTGTAAGAATTCCATCAATGAGTGTGATATGGTCTTGTTGAAATTATTTCCTAATTAACTTAAACCCTTATTTCATTTTGAAGTGGATTTATGCGAGGGTTTAACATCATTGTGAGTTAGATGTCAAACTATCATTATTTTGTATATACATTTTCCAACACATATGCGTATGCTTTAGATTTGATTTGATTTTTTCATTCACATCACAACAAGTCATTGTGCTCTGTGTTTAATTTTTTATAATGCTCATTACAACCGTCTATTAGGATCTATGAAGGACCCCCAAGTGATTGTTTCACACACTTTTTAATAATGGAAAACATTCTAGCCTTCATTCATAACTGATCGGGGTTTAGAAATTCCATGAACATCATACAAAAGAGAGTAAACAAGTACATGATCAACCTTAAAAAATCCATGTGATCCCAAAGGTATGACCTCAACCAGCTAAAAAATCAGCACACATATTACCTTCTTGGTAAATATATTGACCGAGACTATCAAATATCAATCACAAGATATGAGCTCATGAAAGCATTGGATTATAGTTACACAGCGATGGTAGCCCACACAAAAACTTAATATAC